CAATAATAAAATAATGATAATAATAATAATGATAACAATAATAATAATAATAATAATAATAATAATAATAATAATAACAAGAACAATAAAAGTGAATATAAAAATAAACATACGACATGAAGAATTGTGAAAATAATAATAACAATAACCATGGTAATAGCGATAATAATAGCAATATTAATAAAAATAACAATAATAATAATTTAATAAATATATACAGCAATGTCATTATAATAAATCTTGGGTAGCATTTAGGTTTATAAGGCTATAAATCTAAAAAATAATAACGCCGATAGACGGTACAAAAATTAATAAACAACGAAAAAGAAAAATTTTTCAAAAACTTTAAGGAAATAAAATATATATGTACATATATCAGAAGACAATATAAAAGGAAAGTATTTTGCTGTATATAGAACAATGATTGAATGAAAGATGATACAGGCAGTTTCGTATTCATAAAACACTAATCACATTGTACACGATGATTTATGAATAGTTAAAAAAGAATGAATTAAAAAGATCACCTTGAAAATTGATCAATGAATCCAATGAAAGGACATTGACAAGATTTACCAAATTTTCAATACATTTTTATGGGAACGTGAAAATATTTGATTAAATAAATTTTATTACCGACCGAAACAATCAGTGAAAATTTAATTGTTAGATTATTATAAAAAAAAAAAAAAAAAATGAATGGTAAAAATTTTCTGTACATATCTTATAAATTAAATAATTTAGTCTTTATTTAATTATAAATATAACTTGTTCAAATTGTACATTTTATTTTAATAAAATTAATTTTTCAGTATATTTATTGTACGTACATTATACAAATATAGGGCACATATATATATGCATTTAAATATATACGTACATGAGTTTGTGCAGGGATATATGTATATATTTGCATATGAATGTGTTATGAATATGTGTATGTGTATGCTATCTGTAGGCATATATAAATATATCTTTCAAATTGTACTATATAAAAGATAATAAAGTAATCAAATAATTATAAATATCCAATGTAAACAAAACTTTCTGAATTTAATAATGTATACAAATTACTTTATTAAATTCAGATAAACGTTGACCCTAGAAATCCAAATAATAACTAAATGCTGCTGAAAATTATGTAGGAACTTAATTAAATTAAAATGCTTAATTCGAATAGAAATTTTTATTTGCAAAGTGTTTGTTATTGGCATGACTAATTTAAATTATGTATTGAAATTCTGTAAATTTATAAGTAAACGATAAGTAATGAAAAATTTAAATAAAACTATTATTTCATGTAATTCTCGTAACGCTGCAAATTATTTATAATAATGATTTATGTTTCAATAATATCCATAATGTACCTCGAATGAGTTCGTTAGAAAATCTCACTTAAAAATCAGTATATAGTTTTATAATATTTCAGTTGCATCAATTGCATTCAAAAAGAGCTCAAAGTAATTATTTGTCAAATATAAAAATCTACGTTAAAATTCAACAATAACTAATATCGACTATGTGAATCGATAAATAATTATAATGATGAATAAAACCTTTATATCAATACTCGATAAATTTGTATTTACTTTGATCTTTCCATAAACTCATCCTATAATTTATAAGAAATTATGAATGAACGATTGAAAAAATTATTTATACATAAACAAAAATATATAAAATATAAAGTCACACATGCTTAAATTGCATAATAATATAAGAAATAAAACGGAAAATAAAATGAATGTTCACGCTACGTCTCAGTCGGTAAAAATTGATTTAATCGTATCCCCATACTATAATTTGAATATATGTTCAAATGACGTAGATATATGAGACGAAAAAATATAACAAAAATAAAATAAAACAAATAAAAGCAAGCAGTTTAGAAGCACAGGCAGGACAGAACAAAAGAAAACAAAATTGTATTTATCGATTGAGTAAACGTCTAAAGTCAAATTTTTTCTTTTATCAAAAAACGAACACAATGTATACATAATATAGAATTTCAATTTCTATGCAACTGATGTAATATATGATGAACAACAGAATCAATAAAAAGTAGATATTTTAAAAAATATTCGGTGCTAGTGACAAGAAGTGAACGCATTAATAAATTTTTGATAACTCCGTAAATTTTATAATATTATTATAAATCCTACTATTCTGTTAATTATATGTTCTTTAATAAATATTATATATATGACGCAAATATAAATATTCTAAAAGTCATGTCATTACGTATACTAATTAAATTTCAAAATTTAATTCAAGATAATCGACATTTAGAAATTTACTAGAATTCCTTATTCTTTAAGATAATTTAATTACCTCTAATTAGCACGTAAAATTAATGTAAATTTACAAACACGTAATATTAAAATTAAAAAACAACTAACAATTAGGTATTTTATACAAGTGCCGTTATACATTGTCTGCATACCGGATACACATTGAATTATCTTTCAATAAAATATTGTTTTAAAATAGACTAATAATAATTCTGTTATGAATGAAAAATATCCAATGCTTCTCTAAATATGCTTTAATTTTGTAAACAAATATTTTCGTGCAATAGCTAAGAGCATTGAAAATAAATATAATGAAAAATAAACAAATAATTATCTATTTACATTAATAATCTATATACATAGTTATAATCAAAACTATTTATAAAATACCGTTCAAACGAGTATTTACCATACGTTATATATATATATATAAGTGTGTGTAAATGAATATTACTTCAATTACATTCGCTTACGATAATTCGATTACCATATTATAAAAGAAATACTAACAATGGCCAGAGTCATCAAAAACATAATGGGGAATATTTAATCAATTATGTATCGCATATTAACACAAAAAGAAAACGAGATGACATGTAGAAATTAGAGAAAGAGAAATGGCTTGGACTATACAGAAGATGGCGTATGCATGCCGACATATATACATATGTGCATATACATATACGTACACGTATATAAATATATGGGCACGCATGGTAGTCAAGAGAAAAGGAGAATATAATTTTTCTGCATTGTTTTTGTTGTCAGATTTGTTCAGAGGGACTTACTTGACTCCGAGCTTGGTGGCAACTCGCCGCCAAGGGCTGTAGCTTGTAACCGCTTTCTTGTTGTTAATATCCCTTTATTATCGACGATTGTTTGTCGAGTTTGTCGAGTTTGTCGATTATAGCGTTGTATGCGGTAGTCGAAAGATACGACGGAAGATGCACGTAGGGGAAAGGAAAAAGCACATTGCATTAGCCCGATTACTTATCGCTTATACTTTTTGTGTACACGTGTTTTATTCAAATCACTGGCGTTTGAGCAAAGGCGAATATTCAATGAGGCATGTTTCTGACGTCGGTTCAACATTTTCTCTTTTAGTGCAATCATTCTAATTTCACTATAGAAGTTCCTTTTAAATATTTTATACTCGACACCAGTAGAACTTTATATAAACAATATAAACATCACAAATACTATAATTAATCATTTATCAGTAAAATAAATGGTGTTAAAATTGCTATGTAAAAAAGATTGTAAGCGTATTCTTTAATCAAAAACAAACCAAATTGATATTTTTTATATATTATTATAGATTTTCTTCTCTCTCTCTCTCTCTCTCTCTCCCTCCCTCTCTCCCTCCCTCCCTCTCTCTCTCTCTCTCTCTCTCTCTCTCTCTCTCTCTCTCTCTCCTCTTAATTTAATGAATATACTGTCGTGTTGAATAAAAAAATTTACTAGTAATAGCCTTAATTCGTGTACTTTGTTTTCGTATCAACGATTAATGTCAAATTATTTGGTTATTTTTTAAAAAATAATCTTATTGTTTTAATGCATAATTTAATATAATTTGAAAAATTCCCAGGACATATACGTTATAAATATGTATTTATAAAACGAAAATATCTAACTTATAAGCAAATCCATGATTTTATTATTACTTTTATTTAAATCAAATATATCTAATAACTTTAAAACATACGTGCCATTATTAAAAATCATTTGATGATTATTCATACACACAAACACACACAAACACATTGTACACGTATTTAATAAAGTGAAATTTTCTTATATTTTTATAAAAAAATTAATATTTATAACTATTACATTTATTTTAATGTACAAATTCTAGTTTGAAGATTTCGAAAAGTTTTTAACACTGATTTGAATATGAGATCTTTAACGAAATAAAATTGATATAATCACTAATTAGTATAATATAGACTCTACAGAAAAAGTTATTATTTTATAATTGCTTATTACATTGCACATTTTACTCTTGATTATTAATTCACGTATTTATTTATATTTACTTTTTAGATAATTTATGTTTTTGTTTCTTTTAAGCATTTATAATACAGGCAAATAGTGTTAGTATTTTTTCAGCTTTATTTTCATTTTGGGATTTTTTGTAAAGCTTTATTTTACCATTGCAACATTCTTTTTACTAAATTTTTTATCCACTATAATCACAGTAAAAAATAAACACATAAAAATAAGTTAACATATTTAATATATAGACATGCGATAGAAACCGTTAGAACCAAAAATTAAATCTTCAACTAAAATATGTTTATAAAATCAGCATTACGGCTTTCATAAAGCATCAAAATTATGAGTAAAAATATTTTATAACATTTATATAAAAAATTAGAAATGTTCTTATGAATTTGCTGGAATCTTATCTTCATAATACATTAAACTGTTTATTCCAAAATTGCAAATAATAATTTGCAAATAATAATTTGCAAAAAATAATTATAAATTGCAAATAGAAATAATAATAACAATAATAATAGTGATAGTGATAATTTTATAAGATAACAAAATACAATATGAAAAAGGAAATAGAATTTACTTTTCTATTTTTAATGGTTAATGAATTGCTATTCATCTTAAAGAATCTGTTTGTGTGACAGTTAATCTATAACTGTGGATGCTTGTATCATTCATATAATAACAAAATTATATTATAAATATTAAAATATATGTCTATCGCAAAAAGGTCTCAATTAAAATTACCAAACATTGCATATAAATTTTTAATATACATTGTTACATATATTACCAAAAGCTATATAATCATTTAAATTTATTATTGTGTAAATGTGATAATTCTTTATTAGCATGTAAAGATTTTTTTAAGATAAAATCCGTACCGTATATTAACAAATTAATTAATAATTTCTAATTTCTAATTTTCAGATATTTTCAATTATTTATCATCAATATTTAAATTAATCAAATGACTCGAGATTTAATAATGTTTGTTCTAAAATATTACTATTTTTAAAGAAAAATATAATCATTTCTAATTTATGAATTTAACCACCGTTAGTTTAGTATAATTAAATTTTTTTTTTTAACGTAAGAAAATGTATATTCTGTTTAAAACTCAATTATACTAACTAATTTTTAAATTTTCATTTTCTAAATAGTATTAATAAATAAATTAAATTAAATAACATCATATTATTTACTCATAATTATAATCAAAATAAGTTAAAAACTAGGCATAAAAAAAACTTAAATATATTACATCTATTATTTTTCTTTAAAGAAATGAAAAAGTTAACAAATCATTTAGTAGAAAGTTTGTAATGTAATTTAATCACATTTTTTTTTAATTGTAAGAAAATATAATTGGAAATTTCGTTTTGTTAATTTTATATCTTTAAAGAATATTTTTTTTAATAAATAAATAAATAATATCATTGACCGAATTACTATGCTTTTATGATGAATTTTATCTATTAATTATTAATATAAACATTGACATTTATTTTCCAATTTCATATTGAGAATTTCATTTAAATAAATGTATACGAGTTTGTATACGCACGTCCGGAAAATTTTATGGAAATCCAACAAGAAGCAAATAAAGTAAGGATACATATTTAGGCACTGAAGAATTATATATAAAATTCGTGAATAATACATTTAATATAAATATATCCTTAATATCTACACAACTCGTATACAATATCTAATTTTAATTCCATAAGTAATTTTATCATAAAAAAAAAACAAGAAGAAATAAGAAATATCCATGTAGTATTCCATATACATACATACACGCATATATATATATATATATATATATATTTACGTTGATATCATATGAATATGTTATATATAGCACATACCATATTCGTATGCACATATATCTATATACACATATATATCATGAGTACCATTAATCAAACAACCTGCTATAAGAACAAGAAAAAATAATTTAAGTACATAATCAAAAATATGCTAAAGCTTTTCGCTTTTCTAATATATTACTAAAATTGCAAAATCAATCTGAAACAAATAAGCGTCTGAGCCAGCCTAAGCATCGGAGCAAAACGACGCATGGAACATCAAAATTTATCACTATATTCTGTAATTATATTTATAATATATTAAAATCATGATTATATGTCAGACACTTCTATCACTTTGAATTCCTTCGTTGCATCTTGTTTTTACCAATATTCCTATTTCAGCTATAATACCTTTAAATTTGTTTTTTGATAAAACAAAAGAAAAGGACATTAAAAAATTGGAAATTTGCATAGTTTAAGAGTAATTTTTCAGAGTAATCTATCGCAAATTATATCTTTATACTATTATATTCTTCTTTTATTCAATTAAAGCAAAATAAAAAGACACTATATTTTTGCATATTATTAAGACTAACTGAAAATGGATATGAAGTATAAATTAGTTTTTATTAAGTCTTATATTTAGATTTGTCTTAACAGTTAAAAAAAACCTGTTTTATTAAATTATATTAATATTTTTTTATTTTTTTAATTTTAATTATCATTAATTTAAATATTTCCTTAAAAGGTCTTTATAATGTCATATCCCAAACAAAATGTATATCTATTGTATGTAACATACAATAATATATTTATATATTATATTAATTTAAAAATTTTCAAATCTTTCGAAAACATTAAATTTCAATTTTCATTGTACGGTATCTGTCCAACTAAGAGTATATTTTTGTAATTAAAATTCAACTGCAAGTATTTCAAGAAATTCATAAATATCTAAAAGTATATCTTATATCAAACTTTAATAAAACTAACTATATATATAAAATTCTACGTCATTATAGTTAAAATCGTTAAATATTTCAACATTATAAAAATTTTAAATATAAAACAAATTTTTTTCATTAACTTAAGATTTTTTACGTCTAATCAGTATCTTTAATAACATGTAATGATAACATAATGATATGTACTTCTTCTAATTTTGCTTATTAATTTCTCAACAATAGAAAAAAATTATATAATGACCTATTATAAATAATTTATAAATACGATAACTTAATTTATGCTAATTAAACAAAATAATATTCATCTCAATTTTTTATCTATATAATAATTTCAACGACATTTAACGATTAATTAAATGTATAGTGTTGAACTAACATTGAAGAAACATTAAAGTATTATAGCAATTAATATATATATATTTTAATTATAAATCTATGATTGGAATATATATTTTTGAATCTACGCGTAAATTATATCAATAATATCAAGTGTGGTAGGTATAATGCATTAAAATATTTTTAAATTCAAAACAATTGAAATTGAAATAGTAAAAATGCATTATGTTTACTGCATATATTTATTATGATTTATATTTTATAAGTTTAATAAAAATTGTAATTACATTTAGAAGATATATGCATTACATTATTGAACTGGATTTATTATAAAGATTGAATATAATAATTAAAATTGATGTTAAAATAAAAATAATTGAAATGTCCATTTTATATTAATTTAAAAAAAAGAAAAGCAAAATTTTTTAAAGATCTTGAGTTTTAATGATATGAAAATTGTAATGCAAGTTCCTAATCAACTAAATTCTCTGAGCTTTGGTCTGACTATGTTTATAACGTGCGAATTTTCAACCATATAAATTGAAATCCATAACATCATTTATACACATTATTATAGAAATAATAATTATTGCTTTGTGTGAGATATATCACTTACCTTCCAGTGCCGATAGGTGCTGGTAATGGTAAAGATGCTGTTGAACCGCGTTTTACGATACTGCTGCTTGATGAAATCGAAACACTTGACAATGATTTGAAAGAAGACTTACTCGACGGCTTAGATTTTGTACATTCTTGTTGATAGTGATCCTTACACGATTGGTGAATTATACTTCCACAATCTAAATTTAAAATATAATATATCGTTAAGTTTTCATTTAACTAGTTTCACTTTAAACTAACTATACTCTTCATTCGTTTTTATATTCGTAAGTAAATTTAACCAATAATCATATAAAAATTTATTATTTTAGTTTTCTCTACAATTTTAAAAGAATCTTTGAAATTTTAAAAAATTTTATTAAATAATTTGTCTATGAAAAATTATGAAGTTGAACATAAATCAAAATTTTATAATCATTCTTCTTATTGTTATTATTATTATTATTAAAATTATGATAGTATTTATGTTTAATTATTCGGAATATATAATAAATACAATGATGATCTTTTATAAAGGTTACTTTATTTGATATTTTATCATTAATTCTAAAAATAGTATTAAATATATATGCAGTGTAATGATATTGATTATTTTAAGTTATTATGTTTTGACATTTTTAATTAATTCATTTCATTAGGTGGACATATAATAAAGTAATAATCAAATAAATATATAATAATGTAAAATTAAATGAAGATCATTATATTTTAAAGAGAAATTAATGATGTAATATTGAATATAATTTATGTAAAAATTTTATTTTTCATTAGCAATTTTTGAAGTATTTCTACTATATTGATATTATATTAGTAATACTAATTATATTTTGTAACGTAATATAATATATACATATACTAGCAAAAGAAATAATTATTTATTTTGTTAAATATATATTGTTTATTAATAAAAAATAATGTTTATATTTTAAGTACTTTATCGTCGAAAAGTACCAATAATACTTACTTTCACAATGGAATGCCGGTTTACTAGCAAACGATTTCATACAAAAATCGCAAGTATTATTTCCTTGTGATGATACATTGATCGATGCCCATTGATGTTGTTGAGCTGGTTTCTTTCCACTTTTGTCCTGTAAAGTTTTCGATTGCTTTTAATTAATACGATATTTATAAATAAATTAGTAATATTATAATTTTTAAACATAAATAATAACTAACCTTCTTTTTTCTAGAAAATAGTGAGCCTCGTTTTCTTTTTGTTTTTTCCGAATGTCTATCATCATAAGCTGTACTGTGAACAAAAAAGAGAAACGAGCTTTTTAAAAAATCTGTAACATTTCATGTAGAAGAGATTTATAAAATATTTAAAATATTCGTACTACAATACAACACAAACAAAAAATATTACGTTAATAATAATTGCAATATATCATGAATGACAACAAAGATGAAATATACAGATAAGTAAAAAGAAGATAAGTGCAAATAGAGAAAGTTAATCGTGTTACGTTCTTAGAAAAACAACTACTATTTGTAAAGAGAATTAAGTATTATTCAAGAGTCATACTGACCATTGCGTGGATTACCAATGTTAGCCACAAATATGCATTCACTGTAAGTGAATAGGTTTAAGTAAGGTAAAGGTCCCATTGTGTCACCATTATCAGAAAACAAATTAGAAAATAGCATCCTTCTAGATAAAATTTTAACGGCAATTTAGTTACTTTTGGCATCAAATTACGAAATATACTGAAATTTTCAAATTTATTACTCGGTAGAGAAATAATTTAAGTTACCATACCATACAAGTATTGATTTGTATGAATCGTGTATATATATATATATATATATATATATATATATATTGTGTGGCTAATTAATTATGAATATTTTATATATTAAACGGTCTTACGTACGTTTAAAAACTCAATCAAAATTTATAATTCAGCGCTGTCAAATTATAAATTAAACTGTTATTTTATGCTGCTAAAGAAAATTACAACTAAATAATGAAAATATGTTTAATATGCCTTGAAAATATGTTTCTAAAAATTAAGCAAAAATAAAATTGAATATCGTACTGTCGTTCTGTTGAAAAATAATAACATGCGCGAAGAGAGTTTTATACATGGAAATCTTAAATCAAATTGACATTGTGTTAAGTTATTAAATATTCTGAGAGAAAAAAAATCACATAATTTTTACAAATATCAGTTTGAAAGAACATAAACTTAAAAAGATTTAAATATAATGCTCTTAAATAAAAGTAGTACAAATTATGTAAATAATATAAAAAGGAACATTATGTTTTTAAAAAATTTCAGGGCATTATTTGCCAAAAGTAACGGACATCGCTATATTTTTGTGATGTTGGGACATTTATCTCGGGCATGGAATCGAACAATTTTTTGTTGTTCATTTTGATTTTGTTCTATACATCGAGTACTCACTCTGTTAAGAGTTCGTCAAGGGAAGCTTGTGTACTCGTTGTGCCTTCTCTCATCAAGTCCTCGTGAAATTCATGACCATGAGGGATGTGAAGGTCGTCCGTCTCTGTCTCACTTCCACTACCCTTTTCGTGTCTTTCATGCCGACTGCTGTCGTGCAACAATATGAAGGAAAGAAAAAAACACGGTCAAGTGTAAACGAGAAACGATAAAAATGGCTATCACTTTTATGGTAATTTATTTTCCATATCTTCTTCGGTAATAAGAATTGTAAAAGTAATAATGAAGCACATATCGTGGAGCTTTTCACGATATTGTAAAATTATAACAACATCAATAATAATATTAATAATAATAATAATAATAATAATAATAATAATAATAATAATAATAATAATAATAATAACAACAACAACAACAACAACAACAACAAGAATAGTAGAAAGAATAACAATAATTATTATAAAAAAATACAATATTTATCTAGAAAGATACTTGAAAAAAAAATTTGTCTTGTATAAATCTAGCAATATCTCATTACCAACTTGCCTGCGACTCCTGTTTAATTGTCAAGAAATTTTTCTGCTTTCAAAAATTCAAAATTCTTAATAAATATTAGGCCATGCTATGATTGCATTTGTTTGCTACATTTGATGCAAATTGTTATATTGGTGCAAGTGCGCATAAAATTATAAACAATACGTTTCACACTGTACTCAGGCAATAGGATGATTTATATCAGAGCTGAACATTTTGCAATGCATTCATCATTACTTTTACTTGATAAAACTAAATATTTTAGAAAAACAATTTATATTTTATTATAATCAAGTAGAATATATTGAAATTTATTAATATATTATATTAAAACAAGCTTATGGATTCATTAAAAAGAAAATTGAAATATAAATGTGAATCAATAATTAATATTATCAAGATCAAGATTAATTAATATATAACAAATAAAATAAAAGAGGTGTATTTAAAAAGAGGATAATTATGAATTTATAGAATTCCGATATAATTTATACAAGAATAATATAAAGTTGTAAAAACTGTATATCGTTTTTTAAAAAATATTTTATACTGTAACAAAAATCCTTATTTACATGTGAAAAATTTCAATTATTTCTTTTTTATTATATATTTATTTATACTTCATAATAATTTGTATTTTTTTTCTATCTATTAATTAGCAAAATATACACATAAATCTGGTATTCACAAAGCTCTTTTTATTACAATATTGATTGATATTCTGTATGTATATATATATATATATATATATATATATATTATAATTAAAACCGAAATGATACTTGTAGTTCAGCTCTGTATAATTATATGAAAAAAGTATAATTTTTTTATCTATTCTTAACTATATTTAATTATTAATAGTGACAAATTATATCAATTTTTATATAAAATGAAAGGATAAATGCTTTAAATAAACTAAATCACAAGATCCTTCAAAATTTTATGTAGTCAACATTACTTAAAATTTTATACATTTTTTAATTATCACTATATTTAAAAATTAAATATTTCATGATTGTTCAAAATTCTTACAACTAGTCTAAATAATTAAAAGTTATTATGTTAAAAGTTACGTAATCTATATATCGAATTCCCAATGAAATTATATTTTAAAAAATAACGATAATTTCTATGTATCATTCATATATATATATATATATTGTTTAAAAATCATATTTCAAAATGTCTTTATTTAGATTTCTATTTTAGAAGTAAGATAATATAATACTTTATGATAGTAAATTGAAAGAAGATGTAAAAATGATTTAATTCTTAAGTATTTTATCTCTTACTTTTTCAAACTCATATTTGTTAAACATATTTTTAATAATTTTCAAAGATCTTTTAACTTGCATAAGAATCTTTGTAAATGAATTTTTTTAAATATTCTTTCTCAAAATTTAAGAATAATTTTATTTATGAGCACATTCAATGTAATTTAATATCTAAATACGGAATAAAGAATTTTGAAAGATTAATATCTATTAATTAATAAAAGTATAAAAATAAAAAATAAAATTATGTACAATAGAGAAGCATTTTTATTGTCATATTAAAGCTTTATATCTCCGTCGTTATTATTTAATCTTTTGTTAAATCTTTTACAAATTATCATACTACTATATAATTTTAAAAAAATATTAAATGTTTCTACTTTAATCCAACAATCTGATAGTACTAAGTATTTATATTGAAATATTTTAAATAAATTTTCTGTAACATAATTAATTTTTACACCAGATATGTGGAATTAAATTATGATATATTTATTGACATTTTTATTTAATTTAAGTTTGTAAAAGTAACATATTGGGACAAAAGAAAAAAAAATTATTTTTCGAACCACGATTTAATATCGTTATGAATACATAAAATGATATTTAAAATAAAGCTTTCTATGAACATTTGGAAAAAGTATGCTTTTTCTTCATACAATTTTCACTAAATAACTTTAAGGAATACTTGAAAAGTACAAACTAATTATAACAATTTCTTATATAACTTTCTAAATTATCAGTTTATATTGTTTATACATTTAAAAACATCATATTCAATAATGATTTAAAAATAAATTTATATACCTGCAATAATTCCTCATGCACGAATTACTCGATTGTAAAATATGGTAACTGGCAATTTTTTTTTTAATTGAAAAGCTTTTATTTTATCATTATATCGATCATAGTATGTATATATATATATATATATATATATATATATATATATATATATATATATATATATATATATATATATATATATATATATATATATATATATATATCGAGTATCATATAATGAAAAATATTAAAATTCGTTGCATTAAAACAGTTGACCTGAATTATAAGGTAGATTAATTTCAAATACCTGCAGAGGTACAAAATTGCTAATGACAAATACAATTATTTCCTTTTATAAAATAAATTATGTAAAATATTTGCATAACAAAAATTTATCTGATTTAATAAAGAAAAACGTTTCGGCCTTTCGAATGTTAATATTGTTGTAAATGAGCTTGTCATTGCGCAACAATATGTCCAGTATAATTAAAATAACTCTAATATCTCTTTGCTTTAGGAATAGTTCTGTAATAGTAATTATTTGTGAAAGTCTTGTGATTCAGGTAGACAACAACAAAAGAGAAACAGCTTTTAAACACAAGAGTATATAAAGAACTTACGTCGTGAGAGAGGGAGCGACTCGTGTTCCAGTTTCCGCGAGGTGAGTCTGACCCGGTGGTATGACAATGGATGGTGTCGAAACTGATTTCTGTAGAGGCAATCGTGATCCGGTCACCCCAGGCATCAAACCCACATTGTCTCCTAGCCTCTGGCCTCCTCTTTTCACCACCACTTTCTTAAACTCACTCTGTAAAACAAAAATGTGCTAAACTCAATTATGTGTAATAAATCTTAAAACTCTTAAAAACTTTTCATATTTCAATTATATATAATTCATCGTCATTAGTTTTAATGACTAATATAGGTATTATTATTTTAGTAATAAAAAAGTTTTATATTCATTTATCATATATAGTATATAGAACGAAGTAATAACAAATATGAAATATATCTTTATTAAGAAATAGTTGAATTTATAATGTAAGTGAGAATTCAATTAAAGGATCAGTATATTAGCATCAGCATTCGCTATTTCTGCACAACTAACAATATACAGTTAGAAGAAACAGTATAAAAATTCGCACAATTTTAAAAGTATCCGAAATAATTTTAAGATACTAAACTGCGCGTACGATAATAAACTACATGAAGCGAGCGACTTTTAAAATGTCAAATATATTAATTTCGAGTTTGTAAAATATAATAAATTTGAGAATAAGCTCAAAGTAATACCTGAACGAAATCGGCTTCATTTAGCGAATGTGTACTGGACTGCGATACGGAAACTCGAGTTTTATTACTTGTATCTCTAGCACGGGATTTGCCATCCAGCTCCAAGTCCATATCACTATCCAGGCTACTTAAGCTAATACTTCGTTGTCGCTAAATAATATTAAGAAATTAGTTAAAAACGGTAAACATGAGCATCATAAAGTTATTTAATCTTAATTTTTTTTTCTCTATATGATTTGACTGATTTGTTAAATAAATGTTTAACAGAAGATGCTTGGTTCTTGAATTTCTCAATCAAGTGAAAAAAAATTAAAAAGTAACAAATATTAAAAAGTAACAAATGTTTTGTACTTTAAAAATAATTAATATATCTATCATTTACGATATTTTGAGCCTGAAGATGATTGTGATCAGAGTCCCGTCTCTGATGCCTCGAATCTTCCAGATCAGTCCAGCTACGCCGTCTATCAATACCCTGGAGTATCTGGTTACAGGCATGAATTTGTCCTCCAATCGTCATTGCGGAAAAATGCGTGGGTGAGCTATTGGTCGAGCAATTAGTGAGGAGATCAGGATCCGACCCATCCTGGTCCTGATGATGGTGTAATGAAGATTGAACAATGCCATCAATGGAGATGACCGGGCAGAGGGACGGACAAGAAGTGCTGAACCTTTGCAGATGTTCGCTCTGCTGTGATCGATTGGCGAGAGCCAGCGTGAGGTCTCGCATTTGATGAATCTTGTCATGAATCTCGTGGAGGTGGCGCAGAGGCTCCTCTAATAAATCAAAAATTTTTTTCTTAATGTGGCGCAAGTTGCTCGATATCTTCATACATTCAATACCAATTACAGGATAGTTATAAGTGCAAACTTTTCTTTTTCAATAAAACCAAAACATTCATCTTTAGTTCAATTATTTCTACTGTTGATATTTTTATTCCCTTAGTAGATTAAATATAAGTAAATGAACATCCATTTTTTTATGAAAAAACCAAGCAATAAGCATTTTTATATATTCAGATCTCTTTTTATATGCTTGTGTTTATGTATACGTGTGTTTTGCATTGTTCATAAAATCATCATTAAATAAAATTATTTTCAAAATAATTCGATCAGATATTATAGACCGAGATTAGAATAATTAAACTGTTCTCATAGTTTTCATTTTAAACTGTCTGTTAAAAAATGATAATGTTTATGATTAAATGATAACCATAAGGAAGATGATATAAATTGTAATCAAACTGAGAATAAGTTTTCTGTAGTGTATATATTAGGTTACAAATTTAATCCTGAATGTCTTCGATGTACAATTAAATGTTTTATTTATCAATAAAAACTATATTTACTTAACATAATCAAATAAATTATTGCTTAATCCATAATATGTTATTTAGCAAAATGTAAGCATTACTGCTCAACGTTTAAAAAATATTTATAATAAAATTCTAGAAAAACAACAATAATTCAAGTAAAAGGTAAATATAAATTAAAGACTTTCATTTATTAAAAATTTATTGCCATGGACAAATTCATTGTAGTATGAATAATTTTGTCAATAACTTATATTTTATGTTTTTATTTTATTTTCTATCTGAAAAAAGATTAGTCTTCATTCTAGATAAAAATGTTTACATCAAATAAACCAATTTATCATTTTCAATTTTATGATTCATATGTACTATTTTTAATTCGTTAAACGTCAATGAATTATAAATATAATAGAAATCATATATGCCTAAATAGATAAATGAATTGCCGAACAAATTATTTCCTATGATACTATGCATTGAATTGCAAAACATAGTAAGGCAGAAACTTTTCGATAACCTACCAACTAATCACACCAGAAACTTGTTCTTATAGTACATATGTTGTATATTCCTTGTATTCATAAATAAATAATTAAATAAATAAATAAATATATATATATATATATATATATATATATATATATAATTTTCGTTTTATTCATTAGAAATATAGTTTATATACTTTGTTCTATATATTGGTATTCGTAAAGGTACTTTCCATTAATTTTTTAATAATATAACTTTATCATTCCATTGTATGTATTATCTTAAATATAATTCCAAACTACTTCTAGTTCTTCCCGACGAAACAGTTTAATAAAATCCATGACTAAACAAAGTCATTTAGCTCATCATGATTAAAATTAAAGCGACGTTTATAAATATTTTTTTTATGATTTTTTAAAATTTTTGTTATGATTTAATAACTATTGTTATTAATAAATTTAAGGATCATGAATCGATAATCAATTATGTATAATCTTTTTGATGCTTATTATTTATCAAATTAGTTTAGAATCGCTTTGACCTTATAACACATTTTAACTTTCTACGATAGCCTCAACTTCTCAATCCATATATTCCTATTTATTTCAAATCAAATAATATGTACTTTCATTTTTAGTTTAGACTAAACCCATTTTATTGCTATTTTTGTATCCTTTCAACTAGTCCGTAATCTACGAACAACAAATTTCGATAATCAAATTTCAGTAATAAACTATTTGACCAATTGCTATTTTAGTATGCCCTGTACCATTTCATTTATATAATCCTTTTGAGTTGAACTGAAATAGAAAATGTAGAATATTGATTCATTTGCTTTAATTACATATTTACAAATTTATTTTAACAATAATTCTAAAATGAATATATAAATTATTAATTCAATAAAATTTGTGTGTAAAAACGATATAAATTTCTTTCTTATTTTTTTATTAACATTGTAAACTAAAAAATATTAAAGCAATTTATTACTAAATTAAGTTAAAATGATATACTGTAGATATGCGTGAATAGGCTTTAAAATAATTCTTTAAATTTCTCTAAAATAGTTCAATGCATTGGACTTTGTACTAATTAATTAGCAATAATTGTTTGTCATAATTAGTAAAATTATAAAGAGTAAGGTAGAAGCAAAACCAATAAACGTCATGTATTATTAATTGTATAAAGTAGCAAACATCATATTTTTTCTGTATAATTTTCTAACGCAGTGATATCATAAGATGATATTTTTAATTTATTGCTCTATTTATGTTTTTTACTTTATTTGTACCATATGTGTATAGAATAGTCACTTTCTCGACCTAATTTCAGTACATGATTTACTAAAAATGTCTTCGTTTATGGATCATTTCAACGTTTTGCAATTGCTTTAACTTTCCTATCTTTTATTACTTGGCAAAGTCGTTTATTAGTCGAACTTGTTTCCATTCTGTTTCCATGATTTTAGTAAATTTCTTACCCGCGCTTAATTTAAAAGATAGTAAATAAAACTGTTATCGAACCATTATTTTCATTTTAGAACTATTGACGAAGCACTTTCTTATATGCGAGTCGTTTTCAAATAGTTCACTTTATATATATATATATATATATATATATATACACTAGCTTCACGTAACTTTAAATTTCAACATTAAAAACAATGAAGATATTCTTATTATTCATATCTTACTACCATATAATTGAAAAACCATTTCTCCATGTAATGTTTTACTTTTTATCTCTAAGGCACTTATTTTTGCAAAGTTCTATTAAATTGATTGATTTCTTACATTGATTCAAAATAGAAAAAAAAATTATCTAGCTATCTATTATTTTATTCGATTTAACTCATTCTTTCGAGGCTTAATATTTAAAATAATCTTATATTAAAAAGAATTTACAAAGAAAAATTTATGTATTTATATAAATACTTGAATGTAAAATATATATTAAACATTTTTTAGTTGTGAGATCTAACATTAAAGGTAAAATACTAATAAGATATTTAGTAATTTACATAATTATTTGAAAAGTAAAAATACTATTATGAATAGAACTCACTTAAGGTTGAATACATTTTGTAGTTTTTTAAACGAATATAAGATTCACGAATGTTAAAAATTGATAAATTTAATTAAATGTAATAAATATAGTAAAACTTTCTCTATTCTAATTAGTTCAAACACTTTAAAACAAATGATTTCTAAATAATTTCCAAGATGAAAATTTGTAAATAGTGTAATAGTTATAAATAGCCTTACAGTACATAGAAGCAAAAAGAACAAATATATATTATTTAAAATTCATTTTAGCAAAATAAAACTTTACGTAATAATTATTTCATATTGTCATTCATGATAAATTAAAATTACCATATTATTGCATGTTAATAGTTTATTGATAATTATCAATATCTTATCCATTTGCTAAATTATAAAATTTTTTTTTATAATAAAATTAAGTCTAAGTATAAAAGCCTATAACTATTGGATTAACACACGTGTTTCATCGCATAATTAGTTTATAATAAACAATTCCTTAATATTTCACGAATTTGCATTATTTTATCATATTAATAGGCCAATAAAAATCAATGAAAAGTATTTGAAAACATAAAATTAGTAAATTCAAAATTAAACAAACAATTATCAAACAAAATTAGAATTCATCTTATACAAACTTTAAAAAGTGTATACTAAATGATGTGTCTAAATTCATTATGATGATCACAATTTTTTATAATATAGATGAATTATCTCAATTGATGAGTTTATATGATAATGAAAGGTTACAGAATTGCAATACAAAAAAAAAGCTTAAATGAGACACTTGGAAAATATTTGAACTAAAAATGAACATTTTAATTCAAAAATCTGATGTGAATCACAAATCCTAAATAATTATTACAAAAAACAAAAGAAAAATACGTTTTATTGTACGACTTACAGAAATCACAAAAGCAAGTGAATTTATATTATAAATAAATAAAAATGAAAAATTCAGGACATAATTAGTAGAATTAATATATATATATATATATATATATATATATATATATATAATGGCATAATTAATTATTCACTCATTCATACCAATGTTATCAATTTTAAATGAAGAATTTATTAATAATCTTTTTAAAAATAGCGAATTACTGATTGGAAATGTTTCATACATATTATTTAAAATGCGCATTTTTTGAAAGTGCAGCGATTACTTCAAAATGAATAATTGGAAGATATAATTGAAAAAATACTAGTTTGTAAATTGTAAATATTAGAAAATATCGTACGTTGATTCGAATACTTCCATAAAATCATTAGTGATAAATAATTTTTATTTAAAGAATTTTAGATCTTATTAAAAAGTAAATATTTAATTCACATCTTATACATTTTTACACAAATTAAAGTGATTTACGAGCCGCATGTACTTCTCAACACTTTATTAGTTATTGATTGACGACTGCAGCTGAACACGACTTGCTCCATTTATAGAAGAAAACAAATTGTTCATATAAAAAAAATCAGCAATTCAAAGGCTACTTTTAGAAACAATAAAATAAGAACCATTTAGTTGAATAAATCAATTAAATATGAATACGAATTGGTAAAATAGTTTGATAATAGGCAATAATGAATTTATTTAATAAAAAATTCACTTTCAAATAATTACAATTCAATTAAAAAATTTTCGTAACAGTGAGGCTCTTGGTGAAGTCATGCAATTATAAACAAATTAACATTACATAAAATGATCTTATTTATTATACATCTATTATATTATTTGAATATTCTAAATTATTATAATGTTAATAAATTTATGTACATTCGTGCATTATTCGAAATGATTTCGAATATATGAATATATAAATATGAAGTCGAATTATACTTTAGAATAATCTAATCATCAAATGCCTGTATTATACAAAGAGTACTTTTTTTTAACTATAGCATAAGAATTGTTTGTACTCATTATTTTCATTATGAAAATTTCATTATTTCTGTTCACTCGTTTCAATCTAATGAAAAAAAAAGAGAGCAATCAATATGTGCGATGCACCATAAGTTAATTGTTATGCATGAAAATAAAATGTTCCAAAATAAATATGCATTCAAAGGCACTGAGCATTATAATAATAAACATAAATAATAAATAATAATATAAATAACGAAATTAAAATAATTGTCAAATAAACCAAGAGCTTTAAGCTCATCGCATATTTGAACTCAACGCAAATTATATTGCCTGTAATGAAATATATTTTCATTTTGTATATTAATGAATAATAGCTTCATTTGTTGTAAAATTAAATATTGTACTGTTTATAAATCTTTTTTCTTTATGTATTTTATCTAATTGATCTAATCGAGCACCATGAATTTTATTACTATTGTGTTGCTATTCGTTTTATATTATATAATATTAAAAATATAACATTTTTTAAATAATAGAAGCAGAGTTATAAAATAAATTAATCCATTTTAATATTATTTTCTCGTCTTTGTATTTCAAAACCATGTGAAGCATATGTTGTCTATACAATTACTATATAAAAACTTACAACTATAGTTCATAAAACTTTTTTACGTTTGTAATACATTCCTAATAAGGCTTCGTTTGAACTCGTTCATTACAATGCTCGATCCTCTTACCTAAAACGGGATAATGTTTGGCGAGGCCAGGCGAATGTGGGGTGACACTAATAATCGGCACCAATGGATTAGATGGATGATTTGAATTATTTTGTCCAGATGCTAACTGCCCATGCTGTTGATGGTGATGACGCTGTTCTTCGGATCCCTCGGACATAGCGATTGTTGTGTGATGGTTACTGTTGTTATCTTTGGTATAATTTTCGTCGGCTAGGAGAAGGTCACCGTTAATGATGGATACACCAGAACATTCCGATTGCGCAGAACCCAGGTAATCTGTTATTACATCCTCATCACTATCTTCTCCGCTGTTTGGACACTCGTCTAAAAATGAAAAGTCTATGATTGGGACAATGTTATAAACAATTAGTTTTACTAAAGAATAATGAAATTATAATTAATTAGTTTACAGATTTAATATGAGAATAAATCCCATTATATTACAAAGGGTATAATTAAAATTATTCTAACACTTCTCATATTTTCAGATACACGTTGAACCAACTGAAAGTGCCAAAATTTTTAACTAACTTTCATTAATATCAATATTATATTATCTCATAATCTCAAATTTACAATTAAATAATTACTTTTAAACATAAAAAATTTAATATAATACTATAAAGTTGAATATAAGATATTTATTTAAATATATGAAATTTTTGGATTATTAAAAAAAAAAGTGGGAACTTTTATGTTTTGAGATAATTATAACATCAGAGGAAAGAATATTTTGTTTTGAATATTTTAATGTCATAAATTAGTTCAAAATATAAATGTAGCCTGTGTCTGGATACTGAGGGTACACAATTGAAAAATTATATAGCATACTATGGCGTGATATCAAAAAAAAAAAAAAAAAAAAAAAAAAAATAAAATTAATAATCGATGAATGTCTCGTTATATCTCCCGTATTGTAAGAGATTAAGTAAACAGAATATACTAATGTTGTCAATAAGAAATTGAAAGTATATAGATATACCTTTTTTAAATCAATTTTCTAAATAGGAACAGGCAATAACAAAATATAAATTTATAAATAATAGATTTAAAAATCACTATAATAAATAGTCAATATTTAAAATCATATTGAAAACAATCGTATTTTTACAAATAAAAATTTTTAATTTGTTTGTAATGAATTTTTATTCCATAATTAAATTAGGAGATCATTCGCTTCTGATACAAATAAAAGATGTTTTTAGTAATCCGTACGTACACTAAGCGAAGAGTGAAATAAGGTTTAAATTTTAATTTAGAATTTGAAATAAAATGTGCCAATGTGAAATACAAAAGATCAATATTTATTTTATGCCTTAGATTTACAAAGCCTGCAAAGTATCGCAAACTAAATCCAATTTTCTCTGTATTAAACGTCAAGAGGATTTATTATAAATTTTTATAAACAAAAAACTACCAACTCAATCTGCTATATTTTCAATAATATCCTGTATTTATACTATCTTTCATACTAATAGATAATAAAACTAAAGTATCTTCAAGGATTTTTTTTTAATGTATAAAGAATCTGAATATTGATAAAAAAAAATCACTACGCTATTCACGATAAAGGAAAAAACATTTACTTGTATATACTACGTTATTCTAAATAAATATATTTTTAAGGGTGTACAAAAATTTGCAATAATTATTTTAATATTAATAAAAATTCGAATAAAATTTTGCTGTACACATAAATTACAGGTAGCATAAAGAAATTTTTAGCCATAATACCAATAACCTAATAATCATAAAATAAATTGCAAAAAAAACATATTGAACAGACAGACAAGTACTTTTACATTCTAAACAAATAATATCCTACATTCATAAAATATGTATCTGACAATTCAATATTTGTTATGAAAATCTACCGAGCAAGAACTACAAGTTAATAAATTGTAATTTTTATAATTTTCATGAAACTAAATTCATAATTTTCGATTTAATGTGCAAATATATTTTTGTTCCTAAATTAAGTAAAACCCATTATCATTTTAGTATCTAAAAATATTAATCTTATAAAATAGAATTATGAAGATAATTTATTAACAATTATTAATTAAAACATTAAAACTTTTAAAAGATACAAATTTTACTAATGTCTTAAATTTTATGCTAGAATTTATTCAATTTCTATCACTTTTATAATAATGAAAAATTAACTTAATAAGCAAACTAAATTCTACTGAAATATTCGTAAATAAATTAACATTTTTACATTTTTATATTGAACAATAATATAGCAAATCTATAGAGTACAAAATCACAATAAGATAAAATTTGTATTTAATAATTTAAACCTTAATTGTTGATTATCCTATTACCTAATGATCTCAATAATAGCAATTAGTTACAACAACAACAACAAAATAAATAAATAAATAAAAAAATACTTCCATTGTTATATCAAAAAGTAAATTTTTATTCAATGCACAATTACAAAGAAATCGTTCGGTCATTTATAAATTCATATGTTTAATACATATGTATACAAACTAAAAATACAAAAACTTATGAAACATTATACTAAGTCTTAAAAGATTGCATGCTACATGCTCCTAACTTTCTACAATAATGAAATTAATTTAATTCTATTAGAGTAATAAATTTAATTAGTAAATATTTTAAACCTGTTCATCTAATATTTACTAAGATATGTTTATCTATTATTTATAAATTGCATGACTTAATAATCTATTTTACTTCAATTAATTAAAATATCGAATTTTAAACATTGGTTAATTATAATATACATATTAAGCTTTTATTACTTTTTTCAATTGGTTTTTCTTAAATCAAATCTTTTAAATTATTATTACAAACAGATTCTAATTTATTACTCGTTGTATTTTACAATTAACACAAATTTATTTCTTACTATCAAAATTTTGTTACAAATAATTAGAAATTATATTATCTCTACATTCAATATAAAGTCAGATAAAAGTTATTTGATACATTCATATATAAATGTCAGATTTTAAACGCATATTAAATTACATTTACATATAATAATGCACAATATAAAACGACATGAATGTACTTTAACAGTAACACTAAGCGTAATAAACTCAATAAATTAAAAATGTAAAAAAAACACCATAATTATATATAAAAAATTCTCTTATTACTCTAGTTTTATCAAATTTGACAGTTTTATATAGTTAGAATATAAATTATAGTAGCTTTACCATACATTTTTAAATTAAAAATGAATCAAATTTAAAGTATTCAAATTCTTCTGCCAATTGACTGAAATTATATTACGGACTTAAATATAATAATCATTGTACTTTTTTATGACTAATAAACATCGATCGATTATTTTCAATAATAAAACAATCAATCAAATAAATTATTTTCAAAAAAATATTTTCAATTTCATCGTTCTAAAACATACCAAAGTTGATCATATTTTTTCAATTTCCCTATATATAAAATTGAAAATAATTTTTTTATTAAAATTTAATATATCTAGTTTACTAATAATTGGCAATAAAGACATATAATAAAGATATAAATATAAAGAAGAATATTTCATTCGGATGAGAAATATTTTATTTAATATGCAATTATAATATTTAATAAATTAACCAATATCAATACAAAATTAAAGATTAAGAAGAAAAGATTTTCTGACTATAAACATAAATTAATTATTATTTTTATAAAAATAATAAAAATTTGAAACAAAAAAACGTTGTAATTTATGAGATTAAATTGACATTCCAAATATTTAAATTTGCATGGAGTAAAATTATACATATAAAGTATAAATATTCATTTTGTATTTAAGAAAAATCTTTTTACCTATTGAACATAAATTAAAATTTTTTGTTAAAAATATTCAAATGAAAAATGGAAAATCGATAATGTAATGGATTTAATACTACAATAATAACATTGGTCTTTGAAAATATGTACTTAAAATATCTAAACGAACAACTTTTATACGAAATGAAGTTTTGATTCCAAACACTAAACATTACTAAAGGCAATTGTACGAAAAATAAATACTTTAAATATTTAATTATAAATCTAATAAAAATGTAAGAAGTTAAAGAAAAATAATCAAAATAATCAAAAAATTAATCTAGACAATTTTGTTTCGGCAACTTTTTTTCTAAAATTCATTGTTTTACGTAATTATTATAATTACCAAGATACCAGAAGATATAAAATATTTAAGAATTATAAGTTTAAAAATTATCCAAGAATATTTCAATTAAAAGATTGCCATAATAAGTATCTTAAATTAATTAAAAACAAATTACTTCTGATCACGCATATATGAAATGTATTTAAAAGAAAAAGATAATGACTGAGCTTGATTCTTTTTTCAATAAATTGGATTGTTTTCTATTCTTGTCTGGACAATATCGAAAAATCTACAAAAGTTGCAATTACCCAGCCAATACATCATTTTATTTGGACCGCCAGTCTTCATTTCTATTACATATCAAAGATATAAAATATAAAAACTTCTGTAGATTTATTTAAATTGCTGCAAATTCAATTTTATGCAATTGAAACTAATTTATTATAATGAGCATTGTATAAAAACTTAAGAACCTTTGTTATTTCTATAATTGATTGAACTATTCAGTGCTTAAATAAACATTGAACGGTAAGAAGAAGTAAATATTTATGGAAAAATAAAAACCATAAAATTCAATTCATGCGATTAAAAAGTAAAATATAATTATACAATAATATACAATAATACAATTTTAAAACTAAATTTGAAATTCCATGAAAATATAAACTCAGAATAACAACAATTATAGATGCTATGTATTCGAAATATTTTTAGAAATAATTCAACATTTTTATCATTTGCTCGCGATACTGTTATCGCTAAAATAACTGCAACATATACAACACACATGTACAGAAAAAACATGCTTTCCAGTCGTAAAAAAGCATTGTCACCAATAATTTAAATATTCAAAAATCAGGAGTATTATGAATGCAGATAATAATTATTATTCAATTGGTATCGTTTACAAAAACATATATCAATAATGAAAAAATATGTATTAACGTTTTTCATACTTTTGAAAATGTATTCGGATTTGTATCAATAGAACAACGAATGAATGTCGAAAGCAAACTGAAAACAGTAAAACCCTCGGCTATTATTATTTTTATATAAGACTATGTAAATCCAATATATATATATATATATATATATATATTGGATATATATATATATATATATATTACGAATATCGTTTTTAAAATATGTAGTTACAGATTTGAATTGTATAGATTTATTACAAATAATTATTTAATATTATAAGATAAAATACTAAATTACA